CAGTCCCCTCCTCATCCTCGTAGCCCTGCGCTGGACTCTCTCCAGTAGCTCCTCATCTTTCTTGAAGTGGGGAGCCCAGCACTGGACACAGGACTCCAGATGGGGCCTCACTAGGGCAGAGTAGAGGGGGAGGAGAATCTCCCTCAGCCTGCTGGCCACAAGTGAGCAGATCTTGGAGGTCAACCTGCAAAAAGTCATTTCTTTTGAGTTGTATTCCCCGTAGTCGTTCACTTGCTGCAGATGATGCAGAGTCACCCGGAGAAACGGGGTGCTCCCTTCCTTCGGGATTCGAGGAAGGCTTGGGGAGAGCTCACGAAACCGGCGAGAGGCGGTTACTAAACGCGGAGGTGGGCGACGGGGTGCGCGCGCCAGCCACGCGCTGGCTTTCCAGACGCTGTGTGGTCCCTTATCTGAACCATCTGTCTGCCAGAAATTCCTCCGGAGTCGCAGCTCTTGACACAAGATGGATGGAGCCCCGGGTCCGACGGGGAAGAACGCTTGCCAGGATCCGGGGTCTTGTTATGACGGCTGCGCGGGGTCCGACCGGGATCCATCTGGCTCAGCTCCTGGCTTGGAAAGGGAAGAGTGGAGGAGCGGACTGAGCTCGCACGCTTCGCAACCAGAAGTGCTCCTAACCTCCAGGGAGGGGGTTGAGGGGGTTTTTTTTTTGACAAATTCTCCCCGTGTAGCTCAGCACCAGCCCGTGGCGTCGCCGCATCCGTGCTCCGACGGCGCGGGGCTGCGCAGATCCGCGGCCAAGGTGCTCGCTTCTTCTTCTGCGCGCCCCCTCCCCCCCCCTTCGCCTCGCCGGGGCCGGCGGCTCGGCCGACGCTCAGCGTCGAACGTCGGCAGATGCTTTTTTCCCCCGTTCTGGGAGAGTTTTTCCCCCTTGTACGCGGTCTCCGGCCGCGCGTCTTGCTTCGCCCCATCTGTGTTTCATAACCGGTTTCCCAGCCGCCGGGATCCCTGCGGATCGGGCCGGTTTCATCCTGTTTTCCCTATTGTTCGTGCGTCTTCTGCTCGTGTTTCTGCTGGGGGTCGCTGGTGGAGGGATGCGGCCCCGGCTTTCTCCTCCTGCCCCGCTGCGAGTCCGCCTGGGGCTCCGCAGGCAGGGTCCCTGCCAGGTTAGGGGAGGGAGGATGACTCCCCGCTGGATTCGATGCTCAGGAGCTGGCTTCCTGCATCTCCCAGCTCTCTCTGCGACATTGAAGTCCATTTTTACTCATTCCTCGACTTTTTAGGCCCGTGACGCTTTGGGGGGGGAGGATGTTTTTCAAGCAAGAAGGACAAGCGTGTGTTTTTACATCCTATTTTTATAACTCGCCCACTGCAGCCTTGCGGGACCAGAAAGCCTCCCAGAGCTCCGGGCCAAGCAGGGTTTGAGACGGCTCCCAGCACCTTTTTGGAGAAGTGAAATCCCAGGCGAGGGGGTTTCCCGTCTGCAATCCTGCTCCAGGCTGGCTGGGGCAAATCTTCCTGGGGCCGGCCAAGCCCTGCGGGCACACGCTGCTGTGTTATTAAAAGTCCTTGGCCAACGCTTTAAAAGCCTCGATGACTTCCCTGACTTCACTAAATGCCGTGTCTTGTAATGAGAAGCAATATTAGGGTTGAGGTTTTTATTTAAAAAATATATTTAAGGAGCATAATCGGCTTCTCCGGCCAGCTGATGGCCGCAGAGCTCTCCGCCGGGCTGTGGGAAATGGGCTGCTGCTTGTTCTGCCGTGGAAAGGTGTTTTTATTAATAATAGTTTGAACTGAAAACCATGGAGGGATGTGGTGCGTGTTTGTTTGCTGTTTCCCTCGGTCCCCAGGGATGGGGCCAGGCTCTCCCACCCCCGACTCCCGGAGAGGGAAGGGACGGGAGCAGCCGGTTGCTCGGGGGCTCCGATCCCTGCGGGCGCCAGCTG